CTGGGTCCCGGGCTCGGGCCCGGAGTCCCCCAGCTCCTGCTGGGTCCCCGAGCCCCGCCCCCTCCTGACACCGGCTCTCCCCGGCCCCGGGGGTGGGCGCTGGGTGACACGGGCGGCACCCTCTACCCTGCCCGTGGGATGGAGCCCAGACTCCTGTCCTTGGCCAGGGGCCTCCCCTGCTCCCCCTTTGCGGTCTTGATTTCCGGGCTCTGCGATGCTCCGGGGTCCCTCCTCCCCAGTCCGTGAGGCGTTGGGGGGCTCCAAGCTCTGTGCTGGCGGCCTCAGACAGTGTTTCCAGACCTAGGCTGTCCCCGACCCCACTCTACCCCACTCCCGAGTGAGTCTGCCTCTTAAGCACATTCTTTCTCCTGCTCAGCCCCCAGAACCTCTGTGCACCCCAGCTCTGGCGTCTGAGACACCCCCTCCTGCCTGCTCCCTTAGGTGGTGCCTCGGAAGGTCCCCGCCGGGTCTGTGGCATCCTTCCTTGGGGTGACTCCTGCTGCTTCTCTCCCAGTCCAGGTCCCGTAGATGCCATCCTCGCTCATAGCCTGGGTCCCCTTTCAGCTCTCTGGGGACTGAGCTCAGAGTGTCCCCACCCTTAGGCCATTGCTCCTAGGAGGCTGGGGACCTCTGCCCCCTTCCTGGGCTTCCTCCCTCAGGTCCCGACCTGCATGTGTTTTCTTTTTTCTGGCTCCTCCCTCTGTTTTCACGTGGCCTTTCTCTCCCCTCCTGGGTTGTGACTCGCAGCTCTCAGGGGTTTATGGTTATAGGGAACCCCCCTCTTCCCCTGCCAACCCCACACTCTTCTGCCCTCCCCAGGGTTTTGAGAAACGAGACTCGCATGCTGGTGGCGTGGAGGTCTGAACGCTGCAGACCCGAGGAGCTCTAAGTCTCCCTGAGATGCCACCGCCTTGCTGTGGCACTGACTCTGGCCCCCGCCCCCACCCTAGCCGGGCAGGGTCTGCAAGCTGCGCCGGCAGGGCCCTGAAATCCGATCTGATGAACTCTCCCTGACCCTGGTGGCTGGGCCCCCGCCCCACTTACATTGCCGACCCTCCTTTCAGGCTCTCCAGAGCGTGAGCCTCCCTGGGGGGCTCACAGCCTGAGTGCCTTTCATGTCATTGAAGCGTCCCTTTCCCCAGGACCTCTCCACAGCCTGTTGCCACCTGCCATAGATGGCTGTCTTTCGGGGTGCACGATGGACGGGCCGGGGGAACACAGGGGGCTTGCTGCGTCTGAGGTCGGAGCCTCTGAACCTGAGGCCTCTGGCGGTTTGGGGACGGGGTGCCACGGGCCCGCTGAGGCTGCGTGCCACCAACCCCATACGCGTCTCCGCTGTCCAGAGAGTTGCTGTCACAGGAACAGCCGTGCAGCTGCTGTCGAGGCCACCATCACTTCTGGCGGCGTCCGGGCCCGCCTAGAGATGATATGCGCTTGGCCGTTGGGGTGGCGCTGTTTATAAACACGGCTCAGCCCCGGATCAGGACGGAGCCGGGCAGGAAGTGATCTCGGGGCGCTGGGAGCTCCTTCCTGAGGGGCCCCCTCCCCCAGCCAAGGGCGGGCTCCTCGGTAGCAGCAGCTGCGGGGACCAAGTTGGGAACATATGGCAGCCTGAGGGGTGTGCGGGGATCCAGCCGCCTCCGTCCTGCTGGTTTGGGGCTGGGCCTGGCGGGCGGAGTGCCATGGCGTCAGCAGGCTCTGAGCCCACCTGCCCAGGGCATGACAGCCCGGCCCTGACAGCCAGCTCCCCCTGAGGGGAGACACATCTTGCCCGCTAACCTTTTTGCTTTTCTGCCCAAGGTGGGGGGGTGGCCAGAGAGGTGAAGCGTTGTTGCTTTCAAAGCATCCTGGGCCCTCTGCGCCCAGCTGACCACATGGGCCAGCTGGGGGTGTCTGGGTGAGTGAGGGTCCCCGGGCTGCCAGGCCAGAGGGCAGGACATGCCTTGGAGCCCGGGGACACAGGTCTGAGTGCCAGGCCTGTTCTGCGCATGCTGTGGCAGCCGCTGCGCTCTCTGTCCTGTTTCCTCACCTGCACAATGGGCGTGGCCCCGTGATATTAGCTACCGGGAGGCCCTTCCATGTCTAGCAGGGACCAGACACTCCTGACCCCAGGGCTTTCCAGAGCCACAATTCACAGCCCCGGCGCGGGTCAGGTACCTCTCGGGCTCTGCAGGATGGACAGGGCGGCCCACATGGTGTCCCCGTCATTCTGAGCCGGACCTCCCCCTCGTCAGGCGCAGCACCTGGTGCAGCCAGAAGGAACCTCAGAGCTGACTGGTGAGGGCCTTCTGGGAGCCAGAGCGGCAGGGCCTCAGTGCCAAAATGTGCCCGAGGCTCCTGGCCTCACCCCTTGCTCACCAAGGATGCAGCCCTGAGCCTTCTGCCTGGGGCTGTGCCAGCCCGTCCTTCGGGCTCTCCGGCAGTGGCAAGTGGCGTACTGGCTGCTTCGGCACCCCTGCCTGTGTGCTGGCTACGCACACCGCTTGGCACGCGTGCCCTTCCCCCCGCTGGAAGTTTTTTCTTCCACCCTGTCGCTTTCACCCCCAGCCGGCTTCAGGGCCCTGTGCGGGTGGCCCTGAAGCCCTCTGGCCTGTCCCCCAGGACACTGGGCTCAGGGGGCCTGTTGGGAGCTGACCCCTGGGGGTCCCGGCTGACCCAGAGGCCAGCCCGCCCGCCCTTGGCGGCCCCGTCATGTCAGCGGTGAGGTTGGCCAGGCTCTTCTGTTTGGCTGGGGGGCTCCTGCCAGGGCTCCCCCGTCACCTCACCACAGTTCAGCAGCCGCCGTGGCTGCCGGACTCCCCGGCCCTCCTCCCAGACCCATGGGTCTCAGCTGGGGCTGGTCCTCTCCCGAGGGACACTAGGCACGTCTGCGGGTGTCTTGAGTTGTCCTGACTGGGCTGGGGGTGCTCACACTATGTGGGTGGCTCCCCTGCAGTGTTCAGGACGGTCCCACCCGGAGGCCGATCCAGCCTGACTCCCACGGGTCTCAGGAGAAGAAGCCCTGCCTGGGTGGATTGGCAGGCGTCTTGGGGGCCGCCACTGGGCCCCGTCTTGTCTGCCCGGGGCTGTCGTGGCAGAGAGGAGCTGCCCCGGCCTTGGAGTCAGGCCTGGGTGTGACTCTCGGGGCTGCCTCCCCAGACGGCGGCTTCTTCCTCTGGAAGCCAACACCAGCCCAGCCGCGGGCCTTAAGGGTCAGAGTTCAGGGCACAATCGCGTGTGGACTCGGTGCCCGGCAGGTGACTAGCGGGAAGTAAGCCACGGCCACCACTGCTGAGACCAAAGGGGAGCCCGGTCGGGGCTGGCGTCGGCCGGGCACTTGCCCTGCCTGCCCTGATGTGCGTCACCTCTCTGGTCCCTCCGGCGTCCCGGTGAGGTGGATGCTGTCTTCCTCCCCAGTGAAGAGACTGAGGGTCAGAGCAGTAGTCGGCGTTTGCTGGCAAGGTGCTGGCAGAGCTGTTTATGGGAAAGCGCGCTTCCCAGGTCCTGCCCTGGGGACACCTTCAGGCTGGAGAGCGGGAAGGGCAGCTCAAAGCAGAAGGGGAGTGGCAGAGGGGCTGTGGCTGCGTGGGCAACCGAGCACGTCGCGGAAGAGGGCGGGGTGGGACTCAGCTCGGGGGTCGGAGAGCGCCTGGCTCACCGAGGCGGGCATGCTCCCGAGGGCAGGT